GGGTGGCCGGTGCTGGGTGAGTACGGGGTTGTGCCGGGGGCGCTGGGCGAGTACGGGGCTTTGCTGGGTGCGCTGGGCGCTCCCTCGGGGCGGCCGGGGAGCGCGGATCCCCTGTCCTGCCCGCTATCCCGTTGGGGCTGCGCCGCCGTGCGCTTGAGGGGCGGACGGGTCCTGCAGCGTGACAGGATGCTTGAATCCGAGTGCTATTCTCCTCTGTAACTTATAGCGCCAAGTAAAAGCAGGTAAAAATTCAAAAGAATGCATTTGCTTCTTCAGCATTTATGGCTCCCTGTAAGGTTAGCAAAGTGCCCCTGCTTCCCCTTCCCTTCCTCTTCCTTAGAGAAATGTCTGCTTTAGACCTAAGGTGTTTCTTAGGACTGAACTCTTAAATAAATAAATCGAATGTTTTATTCCGAAAGTGCAAGCAAAGCCTGCTGAATTTCTTGATAATACGTTCTGTACTTTCACTTTTGTTGCTTATTCCTTAAGATAAGTGGTCAATGTGAAACTAAATTGTGGGATTTAGGACTCTCTCAAGAATATAATAATAATTAAAAAAAAAAAAAAAAAAGAAAAGAAAAAAACACTCGCCTACCAAACCTCAAAATCGATCTTTTGCATCCTGGGAAAAAATATGTTCCTTTTTCTTGTATCTTTTAAACTGCAATTCCTCTCATAGTATGGGCATTGGTACACAATTGGTATTGTGTGTTAATAAATCACTGCATTATTACATTCTGGCATCATATTAGAGGGCTTCTTGTCCATTGTCAGAGGAAAATTTTAAATGGAAGCTTTGAAAACAAGGTTCTAATAAAGAAAACGCAACAATTCTGTAAGTAAGATCTTTAAGTGCAAGGTAATATCATTTTGACTTGATGTTTAGAGTCATTCCCTCATTTTAGAAGAGCTAAATTGATTTTTAAAAGATTTATAAATCTGTTCGTAAGGATCTGTGATTTAACTGGTGTTAGAAGTATTCCTTCTGATTTGATGACCAAAATATATTAAGGCATATCTGAAATAGAAAATAACTTTCATATTTTGAGTAGCCACAGTAATCCAGGATAGGATTCAATTTTCGATCTGACACTTGCTTTTTCCTGTGCAGACTGTTATTAAAATACTGAACACTCACTAAAAACAACAAAAATATACCATTGGAATAATACCCCAGATTTTTCATATATTGGGATCTTTTCTGCTTACAAAAATATTTTAATCATGAGTTGTGGAAGTCAGTTTGTAAAAACTCTTAAGAAAATTGGATATCCAAAAGCTGACGAGCTTAATGGAGAAGATTTTGACTGGCTGTTTGAGTCCGCGGAAGACAGATCATTTCTGGAGTGGTTTTGTGGAAATGTAAATGAGCAGCATGTGATATCTGAAAAAGAACTGCAGGATTTTAATAATCTTCTTGAATCGGGTAAGCCCATTCTAGAAGGCGATGCGCTGGATGAAGTTCTTAAAAACTGTAAATCTGTGTATTCAAAGAGCAGTAGTCAGGGAGAGGAGGAACGTAAGAGATTAGAGGACGAATTGCAAGCTCTTCAGAAGATGAAAAATCTTAGCATTCATCGGTGTGAAAAGCTTCAGATGATGTCTTCCAAAAACAGCCAGCTGTCACAGGCATTAAAAGATGACGAGAAGGAAGCACTTAAAGCTGTGAAAGAAGGCCTGGGAGCGCTTACTGCAGCAAATAAAAAGCTTCACAGTGAACTACTGTCTCTTGTTGATGAAGCTAAGAAACTGGCTTCTTTCTTGACTGCCTCAGAATCAGAACAAGATCCACATCCAGTGTTTTTTTCCCAGCTTTCTTTGGACAAGTATTTGGCTCAGGAGGAACAAAGGACTGTAGCAATTGCCTCATACGCAAAAAAACATTTTTCTCAAGGTATGTCTGAGTTAGCTGAAAGTTCACATGATGAAAACTTTCTGCTTGGGGATAAAAGCAAACAATTGGCTTGTGATGAAGCTAATGAGGTTTGTGAAGAAAGTCGTGAGTTGGTTCGCCTGCAAACAGCATATATTTGTGCCCAACATCAGCTAATTCAAATGAAAGCTGAAGAAGAGAGTTTGAAGTCAGCTATAGAGTGTGCAGAGAAAATGCTTCATTCCTTAAAGACCAAGGTAAGCTGTGAAAGATAATATAAGAAAGTGGAGTTTTAAACAGAGGCAGGCATGTTAAATTGGATCTGCCATGTTAAAAAGAATTGCTGAGGTATTATTTTCACTAATATTCATATAGTGAAGTTGTACTTTTGTGAACGTGACCAAATTTTTCAAAACTTGCCTTGCGAAATACCTCCATGTTCTATGTTTTGAATTAAAGTTGCTCTACCATATTTACTAGTTTCCATCTTGTATAAATATTACTTTAAGCAATAGAACTTAAACTGTAGATGTACTAATAGTTTTGAAATTCCAAATTTCAGATTATAACGGGCTCTTAGTTGTTTGTGCAACAAAATACTTAAAATTTTGGGGGTATTGGAGAGCTAGTATAGTAAAGATATTCTTGTTTATTTTGCATAGCATAAGTTTGAAAAGTTCTACTTCACTGACTCCTTTGAAATTCAAGTATTTGCAATATTTTGGCATTACACTGCTGCATTTTACATATCAGATAGGTAGTGAAAGTGCTAAAGATCTCTCTGAACAAGCGCGTGGCAGGCCAATAACGATTAGTGGAATTTAAGAATGTGAGGAGCCCTAATAAAGGGAGGAAAACTGACTTATGCCTTACAGGTAACTTAGGGTCATTGCCTGTCTCACGGGTGGCATCGTGTCAGTTGGTTTGTTTTCAGTTATAGATGACTGGCTTATAGGGCCTGACTGATTAAACTAATTGGAAAAAGATTCGCAAAGCAGAGTTGAGTCCATTCAGCTGAATATAAATAGGTATGTTTATGTTTGAGATTTTAGTGAGATGTATTTGAGACCTGTGCACTAAGCAAAATGTAGGTATTGTTTTTTTCCACAATAAGCTATTTTCCAGCGCTGCAATAGAAGGAAATTCATATTTATTGAAATACTTTTATCTGATACCTGACTTTAAATCACCATCTGCCTTATGATATGTCATACAGGTCTGTAAAACTGCTTGTGGAATTTACATTTAAATCTGTATCTTGTCAGTGACTTTTTACACGACGTAAGTGCATAATGCTTCACTCAACTGAAGAAAGATATGCTAGGGATAGACGAGCAAAAATTTTAGGGAGCCATGAAGAAATTGATATAAATTTTGCTTTATGCAGGGAATTGAAAAAGAAAACCTCAACGTCAAAATATCTACTTTAAATGATGAAATTTCAACACTTAAAAAGCAAATAGCTAAGATAAACAATGAAGATCTGCCTGCCCTTTTGAAAGAGAATGCTCGACTATGGATTGCACCAGTGGTGAAAGGTGTTTTTGATCGTCGGATTGCTCAGCAGGACTACTATGCTGCAAGACAAGATGAAATATACCACCATGTGATAAATCAGCAAGCATCATTTGAACTTATTGAGCTAGCTTATGAAATTGAACTGAGGAAACATAAAGACCTCCATTGTCAATTTGAAAATTTGATAGAGTATTTGAAGCAGAGCAGTAATGAGTTGGAACAGAGACTGCAAATGATGTCTGAGCTAGATCAACCTGCAAAGCCAAGGATCGCCATTGATCCAAAGGATGATTTCTCTCGTAGGTAAGTGTTATGGTCACTATTGAACTTCAATTTACTTTGAACTAATACTGAGTGATAAAACCTTAGGTAATCTAAGGTTAAGTTGCTAGATTGCTTTGTTCTTAGTTCCTGAGAAGTTCTACCTACAGCAAAAATTTGAAAGTCCCCAGATGTGAAGGATTGGAGACAAGAGATTTGCCTCTTGGGTAAACTTCAAAAAGTTCTGTTCAGTTTCAACTGAAGAAAAGCTGTTCAAGTTTTCAACTTGTTGATGTTGCTGAAGCTTTCTTAAGCAATATCCAGAATAAAATGAATGTGCAAAGCCAGTCCTTTTTTATGTGCTGATCTAGGACCTCTTGTGAGTTATTTTATAGGTGTAAATAAATGTAGAGAGCTGCTAATGCAGTGATTTTCCAGATTGCCTATGTGGCTTCATCAGTGTAGCTTGTTAAATCCCTAGTGTTGTTGAGGAGAGGATCAAATCCTGAAACACAAGAAATGCGTGTAGCCTGTTGTTACTGCTCCTTGATTTGCTATCTGGCTACTGAGTCCTGTCACCCTTGGTTTTTTGCATGTTTGTTGTTTTATTTTGTGTATTCTCCTTTCTTGTTTTTAGCAACCGATTAAGTCTCCTGGTAGCTCAGGTGAATGTAGGGTAGTAGGAATTGATGGTGTCTTGCTGTTGCTTCAAAACTGAGCCGTGAGGTGTGTTGTATAATCACAGGTGTTCTAATGTCAGACTTTCCACCCTTCTTTAAAAAGGTATTTTAAGTATCTTTACTAACTTACATGAAATGATAGTGGGATATAGTCTTGAGCAGGGACAGCCAGGATTAGGTAGCATAATTTTTGTTACCCTTGTGCCTATGAGGTGTCGACATTATTTTTGTTCAGACTTATCAAATCTCCTAAGTCATCGAATCAGAACGCTATCTGACTGCTTTTTAAAGGCTGGACTTCCTGTTCAGGATTATGAAGAGAAGCTAAAAAAAATTTATAAGCCCTAAAGAGTCTGTGAACAGAAGACACTTGCAAGAAACTCAGTTGCTTTTGAAATCTAACTCCTGCTCTTATTAAAGCCAAACTGATTGTTCACTGGGATCCAGTTCATGATGATTTTAATATGCAGATTTGGTAGGAACAACAGAAAAGTTTCAAGTAATCATTTTAGACTCTTCCTCTTGTGGTTAAGAATACAGTTTGGTACAGCAAGTATTGCTGTCTTTTGTGTGACTCATAATTTCTTGGAGAATTTCATAGCAGTCTCTCCAAAGATAGAAAATGGGAATTAGTCCAATAAACTTGAAAATGTCGTAGACATTTCTCTTATTTTTCATTGGCCATTGAAGTCTGTTGCTTTTCAGCACTTAAGAAAATTAAGTCCTCTTTTGCTGCCTTTGAAATATAGAGAAATGGATTGTGAAAGCACACTTTGTCAACCAGCTTTGCCATTCGGTGTGCGTTATGAACTTATTTTTGAAATTCCATTTTTTGTTACCTTAATATTGAAGTACTTTAGGCTCACAATTCTTTATGCACTAGATAAAGCATTTTAGTAATAGTACTTGAGCAATTCTGTCCTTTACTAGTCCTAAGTTTGAAATCCCAGTGAGCGTGAAAAAACTTCTGCCTGACTAATTAAATAACGCCTAGAATACTTAGGAGACATAGTGCTTATGTGTCTAACTTTGTTTGTTACAGGCTATACCAGCTTCTGGAAGGTGAAAATAAGAAAAAAGAATTGTTTAGGACATATGAAGGCCTTCAGCAGATGGCTCAAAAATTAGAGGAGGATTGTGTTACGGTACAAGATCAGCTAGCAGTGTCTTCTCAAGAACAGTCTCTGTTTTTATTCAAGCTAAACAGTGATATAGATGCCCTCTGTGATGCTGTGTATTGTGGAGGAAATAAAGTATTACTTAGTAGCCAGGTAAGTCCTTATGCAGTAGCTTCTAAAATTACTATGTTCATGCATATGCTTTACTAAGATGAATATAGCCTGAAGATTGTCGACACACAAACTGATTACAGCCTTTTTTTTACAATAATGAGAGTGATGGGCTTAGTATCACAGAACAGTAGAGGTTGGAAGGGACCTCTAGAGATCATCTAGTCCAACCCCCCTGCTGAAGGATGGACACTGAGAGTTCATGGCTCAGGGTTGCATTCAGGTGGGTTTGGAAGATCTCCACTCTTAGCGCACTGTAAATGTAGTATTTTAATATATATAAAAGCAGGTAACTTTTTGATTCTGAGAAAATAGCTCCATCTATTTTTTTAATCCTTTAAAAGCAAATACAACCATGTATTACCAGCATGTTTATGGAAGTATGCTTTATGACTAATACCATAGAAAATTAATTTCTTTCTATTTCAGAAGGTACTTCCTGCCCCCATTACCTGTAGTAGCTGATATAATTTGGATTTGTGTCTTAAAGTCTGGCCTTGAGTGGCTCCTTGTGGGCAAAATAAATGTATCAGAATTTGGAAGTGGAATATCCCACTACAGAACTCCTAGGTGTTCGTTTAGAACATTTTATAGGTTGCCCAGAGAGGTTGTGGAATCTCCTTCTCTGGAGATCTTCAAAACCCGCTTGGATGCAGTCCTGTGCCACGTGCTTTAGGTGACCCTGTGTGTGACTCTGCATGTGCAGAGGGGTTGGACTAGATGATCTCTAGAGGTCCCTTCCAACCTTAATGATTCTGTGATTCTATCCTTTAAAAAAGGATAGGGATTTTATAAGCAACTTGTTACGGTTTCCAAATAAATGTTAAATAATTCTAAAGTGGATTGAGAGAAGACTTCTGTTATGCCTTAACGGTTGCTTCCTTAGTTCAATACATAAAAATATATTAAAAAATACCATTTGTAAACCGAATTTGCAATACACTGAACACTTTTTACTGAAAAATGAAATTTTGTGTTTAGGACAATACCTATTTAGGTGTCATAGTTATTAAATCCATCAAATAATACTGCTTTAAAAACAACAACAAAAAAACCTCTTAATGATATCTCTTTCTGTTGAGATATCTGTACCTCTTCTGTTTCTTGGGAAAAGTAGTTTATTTCCTTTAATTGGGAGATGACTAGTCTACCTGCTGTGAATTAATTTAAAAATAATAGGAAAATTCTGCCTGCTTATTAGAGGTTTCATTTTTTTGTTGTTTTTTTTATTCCTTTACGACTTGACTGAAAATATTTGAATAAAAATGTCGTTCAACCATCTCTATTGGGTAGATGGTCAGATTCTCGTGGTCTTAACTCTATGTTACTAGACAAGTAAATGAAACTAAATTCTTAACCTGGTGCAAATATATAGAACTGCACCTCAAAGTTGCACGAAGGGAATGGAATCCTTTATATCTTGTATTTCCGTTGTTTCTGATAAATCATTTTAATAAAAATAATTAATCAGAAGTGGCTCCCAAAAACAAAAAGCTTTTCCATATATAAAGAATGTTAAAGTAATAAACTTTGTATTTTTTTTTTTTAGGAACTTACTGATCAGTTTCATGAAATAGAAGTTCATTTAAATGAATTAAATAAGCTCACAATTGATCTTCTTGATGATATAAAGAGAAAGAGAACTGCTCTAGAATCTAATAAGCTGCTTCAGATGGAAAGAAACTTGTATGTGTATTATATCAAAGATGAGGACCGCTTGAAAAAGATGGTTGAGGAGCTTGAGCAACAATCTAAGGCTAAAAGGTTCTAGAAGATCAGAGTTTCACTACGAGTGGAGTGCTTGATACTTAAACTTATATGTACTCTTAAAATATGAAAAATGTTAATTCTGTTTTAAAGTTTATGGAAAAAAATCTTATCAGAGATAGTGTCTGTCTGTTATTTCAACGTGTAGTTAGCTGCCACAATTAGCAAGGTCGGATTATATAATGTTTTATAAGTTTTGGCATCTGCTTGTTGAGTTTTTATTTCAATTTTAGAATTTTTTTAGGTATGAGAATTACCTGGGTTCTTAATGAATTGCATAATGGACTGCTCTTCTGTTAAGCTGTGTTTTGATTTCCATTATGCATAGCATAGTATGAAACAAGGTTGCATGTCCTTGGGATATTTCTTTGTGCATGCTAAGAACCTTTTCTCTTATATTGCCTTATTCAACTTACAGTCTATCTTCTCTTTAGAAACCTGTCCATATTTATACCAGACTCTTCAATGAAAAAGCATTTCAAATTTCTTTTTTGGACTTAGGGCCTGAGCATTTTCGGTTAGAGCAACTTTGGAACTTGCTGCATAATTCATAATAATGTGCTTTTAAGCTTCAAATTGTTAGTACTTTTTGGAGTTCTGCTTTCACTGCTTTGACTGCTTATTAAATTCTTGTATCCTAATATAGTGATGTAATTAAATGTTATGTGTGTAAGTGTGATACTTTCAGTCATTTTTATATTGATGGGTCAGCTTTGTTTTTTTTCTTTCAAATGTCGCACAACAATCATGACAGAACATCAATATTAGCTTTATCTTCAGTAACACTAACTTTCTATTTTGATTGCAGACTTCTACCTGTTACATAGCTTATTTAAAATTACTGCATTTCTCTAACTTACTGGTTGGATTTTGTGCCATTTAATCCTATACATCATGTTTATTATTAAAAGTTAAACACTTCGAGATCGGTGTTTTCACTACTTAGGGCAAATCTGTGTGTTGGTTTGATGTGTATTCTGATGCTTGTTGTCTGTTTTGTTTAGTCTGCTAGTTCTGCTAGTGATTTTTTTTTTGTGTGTGTGTGTGTTCCCTAATTTGATGCTTCCCATCTTGGAATATGCAAGGAGGATTTTTCTTCTGGGCAGGACAGAAATATTGCCGTTCTTTTTTATAAAAGAGTTAGGAGAAGGTGGGCAGGGGAGAGAATTATACTTTTGTAATGTCAAGGAGCAAAAAGCCATTCTCTCCCCTTTTCCCCTCTTGCTTGCATGCTTACTGTCAAACTATCTTGCACCTTAGAGTGCAGTGTTTTGTCCAGCAAAATTATATATTTTCACTATTTCCTTGAATAGTTTCCATGAAAGGTCTTGGTTCTTCATGACTGCATGTCATGCATCATCAGAATACTTTCTCCTCAAGGGTTATGGTCACTTGTGTAGTGTGTGTGCATATATAGTACAACTGCTAGGATCCTCCCTCTCTCATTTTGTTTGGAGTTCTTAAAGTGGTATGCTCTTGGTTTGCTAGGCTTTGAAGTTTTCCCCTATCTGGGACTGGTTGCAGCTAGTAACATACTAGGCACTAACAAGAATTTTGAGATTCTTCTCAAGTCTTCAATGCCTAATCAGCTTGTAAATTAGGACTGTTATGAAGCCCCATGAGACAGATATTACATATATAGGTTCAAAGAGAAGTGTTTGAGATGGACATAAGCTAAACGATACGAATGCAGCCATATAGGTAGACCTGTTTGAATTCATATAAAAGTGTCTGTGAATACTCAAACTTTCAATCTGTGGTCCTGACTTAAGAAAAATACTTAAAACAGAAAGAAATACTGTCTGCTTGATGCTTGAACTTGATAGTGTATCTGTGCCCTGGAGTTAGGGAGAGAAACTCAGAGCAGCAAGTGAAGAACTACTGCTCTGTATAGAAGTAGTTTACTGAACTGTTGCTAGACCAATTTCCTTGTTTACAACTTGAACCCTCTAAGAGCTTGTAAAATGTTATGTGCTTATCTTGTGTTCGTGGTAAGTCTTATAGGTTGCTTTGATCTGCCTCTAAGGTCAGTGATCTGTATGGCTATCTTTAATTCTCCTAAATGTCTTGGTGTTCTATGGATGTATTACAGAATATGACTACAGGTCAACTAGAAAAGCATTGAATATTAAAGGATAAAATTCAGGACAGTAATAAGCACAGTGAAAACTTAGAGATTTGAATTTTATTCTTTAGCAAATAAGCTTTGGTATAAAATAACATATAGAGATATATTTCTCAATTGACAAATGAACTATAGTGACTCTTAATATTTTGAATGGTGTTTGATTATATCAATGACAAGAATTTAAGGAATAGAGGTCTCTCTTTGTAATAAGTAAATTGCTTTCTAAAGAAAAAGACTTGGTATGTGATAGTAACCCTTTTTTTGTTTTATCTATTTTTTTGCAGTTATTTCCTTAAGTAGTGTTGTATTGTTTTATATCCTGGCACTGGAGCACAAACCAGTAACATAGTAAATGTATGTGTACACTAGCAATAGACTTGTTTAAAGATACTGTTTTTTTGGGGGGGGGATTATATTACAGATATAGTTAGCACTTTTATGTAAGAATTAATAAAACTTGTATTTTGTGGTCATAATATTTTGAATATTCATGTGTGTGTATTCTGTGTTTAGGTTTAATCATAAAAATGGAGCATTACACATCATATTTAGGATGTGAGATTTCTAAAGTGCCTTTGTCTGATATTGCTCAGAGGATTATGTCAGCTTTGCAGTCTATTCCTGTAGAAGAAGCTCAAACCAGCAGAAAAAATGACCGGAGTGAGTAAATCTTGGTCTGTTTAAGTATTTATATTTTCAGTTGGAGAAAACAAAACAATCAAAAAAACCCACCAAAAACACCATTCCAAATGTTTTGAGCTATATTTGCAGCTGAGATGTAGCAAAAGTACAAATAAAAGATTTTATGCAGAGGATAGAGCACAACAGTAAAAATACTTGGTCTCAAAAGCTGGAAACAATCACTGTGTGTAACTTCTTTTTTTAAAAAAATGTATTATATTATAATTATTATATCCTAACGTAATGAGCCCCTCTTGCCCTCCTCAAGGTGCTCATGGTTTTCCCACCTCACTGCATATCTTGGCCTTTAAACCTCTAGTAATATTACTTCTGTTTGTATACCTTGAATGTATATATGGTTGTGCATGGTAAATTCAAATATATCTATAACTATATTCAAATATATATAGTTCCAGGGTGCTTTAGTAGATTTTGCTGAATGCTGGTTTTAGTTGTAATGATTTAGAGAAATATTCAGGGACTTTTCTGATTAATAATGCTGTGCCAGTGCAAGGACTTAAGATATGGTAACTATCCTTAATTGCACTTTCTTACTACATAACCTTTTCTTGCTACATACAATAAAACCACGTTCCAACTGTGAATTAACTAATAAATGTGTATGTCAACTATAATCTGGACCAGATATTTGAAAATGA